TGAAGATAAGTCAAAGGTCCTGCTTGACCATGTCTGCCTTTACTTGAAAGGATGAATGAGATGTTTCCTCTGAGTTGACCCTCCTCTTTGTAGAGTGGACACTGTTTCAAGTCCATCTCGTGGGGGTCTCCATGTCCTCCCTGAACAAGAGGACAGGTGACTCACCACAGTTACAGTACATTTTGAGAGATGTTCCATAGTTCCCTGGAACTTAGTTGACTTGGAGGGCAAGGAGCAAAAACTGTCCTTTAAGTCTGTCTGACCACATTAGTATAGGCCTTGAACTATGGCTGTTAGATATCCAATAAGATTAGTTCCACCAGTCTGGTATTTCTAATTATCATGTGCTATGTAGATAAGGCTTGGGAAAAAAAACAAATATTCTCAAGTAAACTTTGACTATATATATATATTTTGTTCCTTAAACTAGTTGACTATACTATGACCATAGCCATTTTAAGGTTATGTGTATATTATTTTTGTCTCATCCTTTATATATCATAAAAAACCTACATAGACCATCACTACTTGCTTAGGCTTTCTCATTTTTTCTATTTTAGAAAAATATCTCCATTCCCATGACTTTTAACAAAATAAGTTGTCCATCTGTTGTGAGACTTCTTTTCCTGGGGATGCTAAGCAATGCTTATACCCTTTTAAGGTTGTAGTGTCGAGCCAATGTTTGATTAAAGTCTTACTGGGGAACCAATGAATTTATTGAGCTTACTTACCGAGATAACTGAGGGGTTGCTGAGGTGTACGTATGAGGGTATGCACACTGGAAAGCCTTTACCCAGCATGGGCCATGCCTTCTCTTCCTAACCTTCCCCAGACTGTATACTTTAGCCCTCCCCAAATCCAGGAGACCATGTGTGATTAGGGCCAAATTACATACAGTTGGCTGGGAAGAGTGACTGGATAATGTGGTGAGGGTCCAATGACCCTCTTTGGCCCTCCTTTAATGACTGAGCACAACCTTCAACAAGCCCAGTTGTGATGATGTTTAGCGATCAGGCTCAGCCGAAGTCGTGATGATGGTAGTTATTTCACAAAGTCTTTAAATAATTAGAGTGGAGATATGCCAAGATATACTCAGTGGGTAAAGGTGCTTATTGCTAAGCCTCACAGCCCAAGTTCAATCCCCAGGACCCACAAGATAGAAGGAAACAACCAACTGTCACAAGTTGTGACCTTCACACATATACTGACGTTTGTGCACACAAAATAGTTAAAAAATCTGGGCATGATGGCACATGCCTTTAATCCCAGTACTGGAGAGGCAGAGGCCCATAGATTTAATTTCAAAGTCTTAATAGAGAGTTCTAGGCCATCCAGGGCCATATAGTGAGACCCTATATACTGAATCATGGAGTTGAGGGGTGGGGTTTCCTCTGGGCCCATCCCATCAGACATTGAAAGCATGTAACTCAATTCAGTTTTTGTGTTCTTATTAAGTGCTTACCAAGCAAACTTATGATAAATTGACTTTATCACTGGGTAAATCTTATGTATTAGTCAGGGTTCTCCAAAGAAACAGAACCAGTAGAATGAATATGTATAAAGATTTATCAGCTTAGCTCACAGGATAGAGTCCGAGTAGTCCAACAATGGCTGCACCACACTGGAGAGGCTGAGAATCTGTAGTCGCTCAGTCCACAAGGCTAGATGTCTCAGTAGTCCCAATCCGGTGCTGGAGGTCTGACAAATTCCAAAATATCAGCTAGTCTTTGGTCTACAGCAGCAAGATGAACCCACCAGCGAGAGAGAAGGCAAGCCGCAAAAAGCCCCGTGTTCTCCTCTGCCTTGGTCTTTTATACCGGCTGCCATCAGAAGGTAACACCCACATTTAGGGTGTGTCTTCCGGCTTTAGATGATCCAATCAAGAAGTTCTCTTTCATTTCAGTTAATCTCAGATCAAATCAAGTTGACACCCAGGATTAGCCATCACATCTTATAATATTATTTGTTAGATAGACCGAGACGCTCAATAAGGTGATATTTAAGGGTTTTGTTTTAGTTTTTTATTTACCTTTTTTTACACTTTTCATATACTTCTTCCTCATCCTTTAGGGCTCAGCTGAAATGTTACATCCTCACCAAGGCTTAATTAAACGTTTATGTGTTCTGATACCTAGAGTTTCTGGCACATAGTAGGCATTCAGGCCAACTACTCAGTCTTTGCTCACATCACCTTTTAATAAGGCCTACATTAAAATCCTATTTAAACTTGACTCTCACATACAGATTTCCAGGCTTCCCTATTCCAGACCTACTTTTTCTTTTTTCATATAACCCTTATCTTTATTTATTTGGTTCACTGATGAATCCCAAGTGCCAAGAACAATGCATGTCATATAGTAGATGCAGAATTTGTCAAATTACCCTTGTTGTATTTCATTTACAGTGTGTACACATGTCTGGGTAAATAGAAATATTCTGAGCATTATTAAAAGCATGAATTAAATCAATGCACAGTCCATGCATTGGGCCAACATTTGGATTAGCTTAATTCCAGAACCCTAGCAAGATCACAGTTTTGGCCACTTAATTGTGGATTATAGTTAATTTGCTGTGTCTTTTAGGAATCCTTGTACACTTGAGAGAATACATGTTATATTACCAGAATATGAGCAGAAAAAATAGATTGGAAAGGAGGAACCCTATGATAACAGAGTTTCTAATTTCATATTGGCCAGAAATAAATGTTTTATGCATAATAACATTTAATTCATCCATTCCATGAGTTCTAAGGCAATTGAAGCAACTAGAGACTAAACCATTTGCCTAAAGTTACTCAATTGGTAAGTTGCAAAGGCAGTATTAAAATTTAACCTCCTGTACTTTGCTATTCTGCCACAATCTAGCATACTAGCAAGAGTGAGAGCCTTAACCCTAGGAAAGGAAAAGTCACAGTTTCCACAGACACATTCTAGTTAGTTAGTCGCAACACATCACACCACCTATTTGTCACGGTTTCTCCCTTGGATCACAATGGAAGAGGATGTGTTCTGCTGTTAAAAAATGCCTCTTTCTCTGAACTCATGACCCCCTTCCAGCCTCAGCCTCCCAGACACTGGCACTATGAATGTGTACCACACAAAATATCTTCCTTCTATCGGTTTTCTTTGTGTCCCTTCAACTCATCAAGGTTGTGTTAAAATTTCTGCTTACAGAACCCTATGACTCCCATTACCTTTTTTCGCCTTTGTCTCTTTGGATGGTAGATAACTATAGATTCTCAAGTTCAACACAGTCAAAATGAAACATGTCTTTACTTCATACTCCCTGAGATCTGTCCTAGAAAATGACACCTCTTTCCAACTATTTGCTAGGGCAGAAATCAGGACATACTATTAGTAAAATAGCTAACACATATTGTGTACTTTCTGTGTACCCAGCACTCTATTCTAAACACTTTACTTGTATTTTACCTGTATTACACTCTACCTGCATTGATCATCTAACTTTGATATTATGAGTCCTGTCATTACCCACATATTCTAAGAAGGAGCCTACTTTTAGATCACTCAATTAGGAAAGGACAGAGTTGGGGTCTGGATGCTGGTAGTTAGTATTTGATTGATCCTTGACTTCTTTCACCCCCGTTCAACTAGTTATGAGAACTAGATTTCCACTAGGCAATATCTCTAGACGTAAATCCAATCTTTCCTAAAGCTCTTTAATACCTCCCCTATAGCCCTCAGGTAAAGATCAAGCATTCAACTTGGATTTTCAGGCTTTTCGTACTCTGACCTGTATGCCTCCTGCCTTCCTCTCTTCTGCCTTCTCATTCTTGCACACATTAGTATCAGTCAAAAAATTAAATTCTTTGTATGGAGCTATGACCAAGCTTTGATGTCATTTCCACTAACTAAAGGATTCTCTGTCCCCCTACTCCTTGTGCCTAGTAGACTCTCCATAAATATTGGTGAATTGAATCCAGGACTTTATCAAATTTAATCCAACAGAGCAAAGAAATACAATCTGAATGCAGACTTCCTTCCCAGAGCAGTGTATCCATATACTTCGGTAGAGCTAGAACACTGGTAACATAACTGTCCTTAGGAGGGAGTCTCCAAGAAATGCCTTACTATTAGACGATTCTCCCTTCACATATGCCTGGAATACAGTATTTCAATCATCTTGGAAAATCATTTGATTTCCAGACTTAGTTCAAAAGTATTTCTTCCTCTATTAAACCTCTGCAAAGAGCTGGAGACAGCTCAGTTGCTAGTGCTTGCCTAACATGAACAAAGCCCTAGATTTGAAAACTGAGCATTGTGGCCCACATCTGTAGTCCCAGCATGTAGGAGGTAAAGGCAGAGGGATCAGAAGTTTAAGGTCATCTTAGTTATACAGGAAGCTGTGGGCTAGCTTGGGATACAGGAGACCCTGTCCAAAAATAAAGCAAAAAAAAAACTGTCCAGATATTTTCTTCCCTCCTTCCTTTTTTCATTTATTTATTTATCTTTATTTTTTATTTTTTGAGATGGTCTCCCTGTAGCCCCAGCTGGCCTGGAATTTGTTATGGAGACCAGGCTGGCCTTGAACTCACAGAGATCTACCTCCTGCCTCCTGAGTGCTGGGATTAAAGGCATATGCCACCATGTCCAGCCAGATCTTTTCTTGTAGGTAGTGCAAACTGGTTCAGCCTGATTTATAACAAAATGTCTTAAACATTTTCCACTCACAACCTGTTTTTGCCTGTGAAATTTATACATGACCCTGAATATATACATATATAAAATAAATATACAAATCAAACATTTACTGATAACATATAATAACATCATAAGTAAATTTATCTTGAAACAATTATTTGGTATATATAAATTTTACCATTTATTGCAGATGAAAGCAAATTTGCTTACTGATGAGATAGATCTGCTTATTTTTACTTAAAGAATTAAATCTTGGCTGAATATTTGGTACTGCATGGCATAAAGCATCTTCAATGTTTTTTAGAGTTCATCTATATTTTGATTTTATAATCATCAGTGTTGAGAACATTGCTTTACTTATGTACCAAAATGGGTCTAGAAGGGGCCAGTAAGATGGCTCAGCTGGTAAAGGCACTTACCAGCAAGCCTGACAACCTGAGTTTGGTTCCCAGAACCCACATGGTAGGAGAGAGCTGACTCCCACAAGTCCTCCTCTGACCTCCATGTACAATATGGTACATGCTGGGTACCCCTCCCATACACAAATAAATAAATGTAACTACATTTTTTTAATGGTAGAAGTATGTTTAGGACAATTTCATAAAATTACAGAAATTCTGTTCTAATCTCAAGTCAAAATTCATGGTTTTTTTTAATGAAACTCAAGTCAGCAACTCAAACAGGTTTTTTAAAAATCTTATTATTTTTATTTTATATGTATGAGTGTCATGCATATAAGTGTACCTGTGTCATGCAGTGCCCTTGGAGGTCTGAAGAGGGCATTGGAACTGAAGTTACTGATGGTTGTTAGCCTCCATGTGGGTGCTGGGAACCGAACCTGGCTCCTCTGCAAGAGCAGCCAGTGCTTTTAACTGCTGAGCCACCTCTCCAGCCACATAAAGCAATAGTTTTAAAATCAAACGTTCTACCATAATACAATCCAAAGATACACCAGCAGTTTGGTACTTAAATGCCCAGGAATGATGATAGGAAAATAATCATTGTTGTCCATAATTAAATCATAATGTTTCTATAAGAGCAGAAAATTTTGTATGTATAACAAAACAGCCTTGGCTCTAAGTCGAGCTATTTCAGGAGTGTTGGTTGGTGTTCTGTGACATGGAGTCCAGCACAGCAGCACAGAGAGAGCATGTTGCAGATGCAGCGAAGTTCTGATGAAGCCTGGGTAAGTGCTGCCAGAAGTGCCTTGGACTCTATGTATTTTATTTTGAATGAATTTTTGGTTGTTGTGCATTTAGAAACCTTTTACTGCTGACAATTTTTTGCAACTCTCACATCCAGTTATGTGACTTCATTTGGGTTTGTGACCCACTGGTTAAAAAGCTAGGGTTTATAATATATAGCAAGAGTGATGAGAAATAGAAGACCCTTTAACCTAGGAATTATACCTCCAGAACATTACCTAACCAAAGAGCTGGGTCTAGTTATGGACTTTAATAACTCATTCAAATCCTAGTTATCCATCCTAAAGGAAAACTGCAAATACCCTAAAAAGTAAAATTAGAACAGGATGGTTTGGTTAAGACTATGCAAAGCTGGGCGTGGTGGCTTACAACTGTAATCCCAGCACTTGAGAGGCGGAGACAGAGATCTCTGTAAGTTGGAGGCTAGCCTGGTCTACACAGTGAGTTCTAGGCCAGGCTAGCTTATATAACAAGACCCTGTCTCAAAAAAACAAATCTTAAGTAATAAAAGTACTTTATTTTCATAGCTAATGTTTTTAGTCTTTTGCACCTAAAAATTAGTGAATTATTCTGGATTCTGGATTCTTTTATTTTCTTCTTTTCATTTACCTATTATTTTCTCAATGAAAATGTATTACTTAGGACTGGAGAGATGGCTTAGTTGTCAAGAGCACTGGCTGCTGTTGCAGAGGACCCAGGTTCCATTCCCAGCACTCATATGGAGGCTGACAGCCATCTGTAACTCCAGATCCAGGGGATCCAACACCCTCTTCTGACCACTGCTTGGCATTGTACAACATGGGTACACGTACATACATGCAGGCAATACACTCATATACATAAAATACAAAATAACAAATAAATAAAATATATTGTGAATTCAAAATAATTCATTTGGCTTTATGATAATGATGCTTAATTTACTCCATACTTTCTGTATGAAAACTGTCCACCCATTTCAGTTGAAATTATCTAGAACTTATCTTCATTACTTCCTTTGAGTGTACTGTTAACAGAGCTGCTGGAGACTGAGGGTAAAGCTAAAAGGCAAGAAAAGGAATGGGTCTGGGCACAGATCCATTGGATCAAATAACCAATAATCGATAACTAGAAGTTATTTTCCTGTTTTCATTGAATTAATTTGTCTTTTTTTGTCTTCTATTTTAAAAGCATGTTGATCCCATTTTCATTGAAGAATTGCTTCCAGTTACTTTGTAATCACATAGTCCCAGCAGCTGGCTTTAAAAACACAGCAAAAAGTGGGCTCATTTTACAGTCACTTTCCAATGATGTGTATCAAAATCTGGCCATAGAAGACTGGATCCATGACCATATAAATCTAGAGGGCAAGCCGATTCTTTTCTTGTGGAGAAATTCTCCTTCTGTTGTCATTGGTAGGCATCAGAATCCATGGCAGGAATGTAACCTCAATCTGATGAGAGAAGAAGGTATAAAACTAGCCCGGAGAAGAAGCGGAGGAGGAACAGTGTACCATGATATGGGTAATATCAATGTGACCTTCTTTACTACCAAAACCAAGTATGACAGAATGGAAAATCTGAAATTAATCATGAGAGCTCTGAATGCTGTCCAACCCCAGCTGGATGTGCAGGCTACCAAAAGATTCGACCTGTTACTTGATGGACAGTTTAAAATCTCAGGAACAGCATCTAAGATCGGCCGGACCACTGCTTATCACCACTGCACCTTGTTGTGCAGTACTGACAGGACTGCTTTGTCTTCTGTGCTCAAGAGCCCATATCAAGGGATCAAAAGCAATGCCACCACAAGCATACCCTCCGCAGTAAAAAATCTTCTGGAGAAAGATCCCACGCTGACCTGTGAAGTTCTGATGAGTGCCATTGCTGCGGAGTATGCTGCTTATCATCAGGTTGATAATCACATTAACCTAATAAACCCAGCAGATGAGATGGTGTTTCCCGGGATAAACAGTAAAGTCAAAGAACTACAAAGCTGGGAATGGATCTATGGCCGAACTCCCAAGTTCAATGTAAATACTACATTCAGTGTGTTATATGAACAGACACACCTGGAAATTAAAGTATTCATAGATATAAAGAATGGAAGGATTGAAATCTGTGATATTCAAGCACCTGATCATTGGCTGCCTCTGGAAATACGTGATAGATTAAACTCAAGTTTTATTGGAAGCAAGTTTTGCCCCACTGAAACTACTCTAACAAATATATTACTGAGAACATGTCCAGAAGACTGTAACTTACACAGTAAATGGAGTATTCTGTGTGAAAAAATCAAGGGAATAATGTGACTTTAGGTAACTTTATGCTGATGGTTTCGATGAGAAAATAAAAGTTTTAAATGCATTGCAAGCCTCTTTTTAAAAAAGAAGAGGGGTGTCAGATTTAGCTCATGTCTGGGTGACTTCATCTCATTCTTGAGGTGGCTTGTTCCTAAAGGTTTCCACTCCTCAACCTCACAAACCTTGACTCATAATTTGTTAGGACTTAAGGTTTTCAGAAATGAGCATTTCTGGCCTCCATCTTCTTCAGCATTTCTCCTTCCATTCAATCCCAGGGGAGGAAATGTTCCCTTCCTTAAAGCCAAGCACTCTACTGTGCCCTAGATTTTGTCCTCTCCTGCTTATGTTTAGGCTTGGCTTTGCTATCTCTCTCTCTCTCTCTCTCTCTCTCTCTCTCTCTCTCTCTCTCTCACTGTCGCTCTCACTCTCTCCCTCTCTCTCTCCCTCTCTTTCCATATATATCCTCTTTGGGTTTTATTTGGTTTGTTTTTTTGAGACAGGATCTCCTCTGGCCTGCAACTTGCTATGTAGATAGACCAGGCTGGCCTCAATCTCAGAGTTCCACTTAACCTCTGCCTCCCCCCCCCCCAGTACAGGGATTAAAGGTGTGCGCCAACATGCCTGGTCCTGATCTATCTATCTATCTATCTATCTATCTATCTATCTATCTATCTATCTATCTATCTATCTATCTATCTATCATCTATCTACACAGAGAGAAAACCTACCTATCTAGCTATATAGATATATATTTTGGTCTTTTTGAGACAGGATCTCCCTGTAGTCCCAGCTGGCCTGGAACTTACTATGTAGACCAGGCTGGCCCTGAACTCAGAGATCTGCCTGCCTTTGCCTCCTGAGTGCTGGGATTAAAGATGTGTGCCACCACACCCTGCATGATCTATATATTTTTTTACCTTGCATTTTTCTTTTTTTTTTTTCTACTGGGTCTTTAGTCATAGTAGATGAACATATTCTCCCTTTTCCCCAAACTTTCCTGCTAAGATACCTTTTCTCTCCATCTTTTTTACTACCAGACTTTTCAGATAACATCATTGTTGGCCACTTCCTAACTCTACAGTTAATCCATTCCCACATTTTTGCTTCTATAGTACTATGTGTTTATTGAGTGCCTACTATGTGCCAAGCACTGTTCTAGTTGTTCATGGTAAGTGAAATACATGGCTTCTGACTTTAGGCATTAACAGTTTAGCAAAGTGGCTTTTTAAATTATCAGAATGAAATTAGAATAAAAAATGCTTTCTGCATTGAGCCTTCATTTAGCTCTGAGCTGAATTTTCATTAAAAACCTCCACATCTCAGTCTATAGCTCTCATGATGAAGTACCTCCTTACACTAAATCATTTTTTTTATTTTGCTTACTTCAGGTATTGTAGTAATTTTCTCCCAGGTTAAAACTTCTATCTTGGAGGGAAGCTTATTAAGGTAAAGGATGTTCTAGAGAGATGAAACATTCCATCCAGCAGGCAGTTCATTAAGCTCAGGAAATCCTTGGAATTGACCAGATACACTGAGCCCCTCCCTCCCCAAGCTAATGTAGGCAGGAAAGACTGCTGAGATACTCTGATCAGACCAGCTGCCTGGAAGAGATGCTCTTGGACCTGTTGAGCTGCCTGCAAGTTGTGCAGTGAGCTCCAGGGTTCCAGCTTTCATAAGCTGTCACTCATGCTGGGGTGGGGTTTGGTGATAGAGCTGTCTGATTTATTTGTTCCTGTGAGTAACCCCAATAAACTCATTGGTTCGTCAAGTTGGATTTTGGCAGTACCCTTACTTTGGTCTGTCCCTGTCTGGGGTGAGGAGATGTTAGTTCACATTTCCCCAGAAAGTGGCATACAACATCTGGTAACTGCAGTTTTTGTTGCTCTGTACTGAGAATTCTGACTGGTATCACTTAGGGAGAGTATAGGTCGAAGAAAAGGTTACTACCTACTTTAAGGGAACTCTTGTTTTTGTGCTGAGGACTGAACTAGGGCCTCAGCATGCTAAGCATGTGCTCTACCACAGCTACATCCCATAGCTGTACTGTAACACTTGTAGTTAGAAGGATGGATGGAGAATGTGCTTGAGGTGAGTTGAGAAGGGTTTGGCCACCTTGGTCAAATGCTCCTGAAAGGCCAAAGGCCAGGAAGCTTCCAAAGTGCCCATTAGGAGAATGTGAGGATCCAGGCTTAGAGAATGGAGGGTGAATGTGATTAAAGTATGTAATATGCACACAGGAAAATGCCATGATGAAACCCATTATTTTGTATAATTAACATGGCAACTATTTTTTATATTATTTTTATGTGTCTAAGGATATTGCCTGCATGTGTGTAAGTGTACCCGTGTTGTGCCATGCCCAAGGAGGTCAGAAGAGGGCGTCAGAATGTGGGTGTTGGGACTCAAACCCAGGTCCTCTGCTCTTAACCACTGAGCTGTCTCCAGCCTCTATGCCAACAATTTTAACATAACTTTTTAAAATGCCCATTATGCCAGGCATGGTAGCGCATGCCTTTAGTCCCAACACTTGGGAGGCAGAGGCAGGCAGAGCTCTCTGAGTTCAAGGCCAGCCTGGTCTACAATATTGAGTTCCAGGCCAGCTGGGGCTACAGGGAGACTCTGTCTTAAAAAGGCAAAAAAAAAAAAAAAAGTGCTCATTATGAGCTGGGAGTGGTGGTACACACCAGAACCCCAGCATTCAGCAGTTGAAGCAGAATGATTACTACTTTGAGACCCAATGAGAACCCCATGTTAAAAGTGCTCATCAAGGGTGATGGGGAGATGGCTCAATGGTTAAGAACACTGGCTGTTCTTACAGAGGACCAGGGTTTGATTCCCAGCACCCACATGGTGGCTAACAACCGTCCATAACTCAAATTCCAGGGCAACCCGATGCCCTCTTCTGACCTCTGCAGGCACTTCATGACACGGGTGCACCCACATACATGCAGGCAATACACTAATACACACAAAAAAAATAAAAAAAAATTTTTTAAATGCATATCAAGTAAGGTTGTAAAAGGTCACAACTGACACGAATCATTTCAATAGAGTGACTGGGGCAGTACCTAGAGTGAAGCTGAGTTGAAGTGTGAACAGGTGGTGAGGAAATGAAACAACAATCCTTTCACAAAGTTTGTTCATGAAGAATAACAAATGCAGGGCAGCATCTGACTGGGGGTGAGTGCATCGTTACCCCCTAAGACTAGTCTAGGCGCTAGTCTTCCTGCAAGGTGGTCTTGTGATACAGCACCTTCTTTACCATAGCTTCGCCATGGTAAAGTTTGGGCTGACTCTAGCCTCTGAAATTATCAGGCAGTTGGCCCAGGGTATGGGAACTGTGGCCCAAATTCTCTCCTGTTTACAATCAGACAAACCATATATTTTGTGTGAGTTTATTAACTTACAAAGGAATTGAGTACCCAGTGCCTAGCCCTGTGCCACTGCCACTCAGAGCCCGCCTTATCAGACTGTACCACGCCCAATAGCCCCACATTCACTCATGCCTCCAGGGCCAGGGATCTTGCCCCAGGTCCACAGGGAGTCAGTCCATTCTGTCTTTGAGTTGCTGTGCTGGCTACGAGTTTCCTACACCATCATGCTCTACCGGTGGCTCCTGGCTTCCATCCCAAGATGGCTTCCAGCTTCCCTTCCTACTTCCTGCTCCAGGTCAGGCCCTGCCCATTGGAGGAACCAGCCAATTGGGAGACAGGAACACACATCAGCAGGACCCCATTTGTCTTGAGAACAGGTCAGCGTGTGCTGGAGTGCACCTGCTAACTGCATATTTATGGCTTCTGAAGGTTATGCTTGGCTTGTTTCTGCAAAATAGTAACTGTTGCTTAATAGAATAGAAATTGTTAAGGAGGCTTTGTACCTGTAAGCTTTGGAACTTAAACTTTTCACCACTGGTTATGGTTTCTCTGTGTAAAAGCTTACCCTGGGGGCCGGATAGATGGCTCAGAGGTTAAGAACACTGGTTGCTCTTGAAGACCCGGGTTCAAATCCCAACACCCACATGGTAGCTAACAACTGTCCGTAACTCCAGTTCTAGGGGATCCAACAGCCTCTTCTGCCCTCTGCGGGCACTGCACTTACCTACACACAGGCAATACACGCATACACATAAATTAAAAAAAAAAAAAGCTTACCCTAAAGATGGTTCAGGGCTGCACATGGGTTCCGACACCCTTGTGTAGTCACTGGCCAGCTAAAAAAGACTTTCATTCGGCAAAACTTTGTCTGAGTGGTCTTCTCTGGTGAAGCACTTCACAACATTCTGACAAGTGTCAGAACTGTGTGAAAGAAATTTCTTCCTTGTAGACAAGTTCCTCCAATGGCTGGCAACATGCTTCAGTCTTTCCTTGGGTTCAAGTACGAGATTCCTGAGGAAATTGTAATTTCTTGGGGCCCTTTATGTCAACAGTTTGATAGTCAAAGGGAGAGGCCCAACTGTCTATTTAGAGTATCTTCGAGTTCTTCAGGATGGTGACAGCAGGATAATTAACTGGGTTAAGGTGACTTTATGGAGCTATATAATATTATATATCTGAGTTTTGGAGAATGCATCCCAAAGACATTTGTTTATTTTTGTGTTTGGACAAAGGGTCTCTTGTAACCCAGATTGGCCTCAAGTTTTCTACACAGCTTAGTATAACTCCGGATCCTCCAGCCTCTACTTCCAAGTGCCAGGGTTACAAGCATGTCCCATCAAGCCTGACTGACAGTTATCTTAATTATAACAATATTGTGCTTGTTTGTGCCACTGGGGATAGAACCCAGAACCTAGACACATGCTAGATACAGGCTCTACTACTGAGCTACATTATCAGCCACACTGTACATTTTTTCTGGTTATTAGGCCCCCAAGTCCATTTGTCTCTTAAGAGCACTATAATCTATGATTTTCCTTTGGAGATTTTAAACTCCCAGGATCAAGACTGACATCCAGTTCATCATAATAGAAATTCAATATTTGTTGATTTATTGACCAAACAGAAGCTGGTAAAATCTTTCAATTAGTGGTATGACTTAAAAAGAAATGTTATAAACCTACTGAATAGCAAACATATTTACAAGTGAGCAATGGATCCAGAAATTAGAAATGTAAACATTTATTGTTAAATCCATACATTATAAAACTATGTTCAAAGTGAAATAAGAAATCCAATATTCACTTGCTGTGGTTTGACTATGTCCCCAAAAGCTGCTGTGTTAGATACATGATCCCCAGTACAGTAGTGCTGAGAGGTGAGACTTCGGAGGTGGCTGGCTCTGCCTCACAGGCTTTGTTCCCAAAGCTTGCTCCATCTTGCTATGGAATGCTCTTTGTCACATTAGGATGCAGAAAGAAGGTCCTCACCAGATGCCACAGGCTAAATCTCTATTCTTTATACATTGTCCAGTGTGTGATATTCAGTTATAGCAACAATGAGCTGAGATCACTTAAAGTAGATATGTCTAAGACAAATAAGGTTACTGCCCATCATATTTTTTGGTATGCCTGTTATGAAAAATGTCCACTGTTGTTTCATGACATGGTCTTAAATCTAAGTCACAGTATCCAAGGGAAAAGCGACCCTATGAAGAAAGGAATACTTTTAGAAATGACACACAACTGTGCGTGGTGACACATACCTTTTAATCCCAGCACTCAAAAGGCAGAGGTAGGCAGATCTCTGTGAGTTCGAGGCCAACCTGGTCCATAGCACAAGTTTAGGACAGCCAGGGTTACATAGTGAGACCCTGTCTCAAAAAACAAAAACAAAAAGCCAAGTACGGTGTTTTGCCTATAGCCTGAGCTACTCAGGAGGCTAAGGTAAGGATCAACAAAACCAGTACATACACTTAATCATGAAACTATACCCTACCTGTGGTCTCTTAAAATAATCAAGTCCCCTTCCGATTTTAATCATCCATCCATTGTTGAACCTGTTGAAATTAGTGTACAGTATTATATTGAAGACATTTGCATCAGACAGTTTTTAAAGCCATAATTAAGCATCAGCAAACTCTCCTCCTAAACAAAATAACTTCTGTTAGCATGAGCTGAATCAAACCTTGGGTTAATCATCGGCTCTGTCTGTAAGGAAATGAAAGGGGCATTAAAAACAATCAGCTAACTTGATTAGAGTTTATTAAATTAAAACTTACTTTTGAATTTCAGCTTGTTAAACTTTTCAGCTCTGCTAACAAGGGTTTACAAAGTATATTCAGGAAGCCTGTGCTGGCATTTCAAAGGTTCCACTATAAGAGGTGGGGATCAGGATCTGAGGACAGCCCTGGACCCTGACCTCTGCTTCAACAACAGCAGCACTGCCATCGCTCTTGCATGTTTAGCTTTCGCCCAAGTTTTAGTTAAGACAAGGATCTCATTGCTAGATCATATGGAAACCACTGTGCTAAGCACAAAGTTGATACCACTAAATAGTTGTACGTACTGTTTTTTATTGACAGTATACTCCCAGACTGTACCACTAAAGTCACATTGAGTCAATATTAATTTTACTAGGAAAGGAACTGTTTCCCTACCACAACACTGTAGTCTACAAAGGAACTCCTTTTCACATGGCACAGAGCTTTATTTTAATTTTTAATATGTAAACCTATATGCATATAATTATATAACAGATTTTTAAAAGCATATTTCAGCTATGAAAAAATTAAAATATTAGTGCATACTAACCTAATCTCTCGGTCATGTATTGATGAAGAATATTCTACTTCCAATAGCACTCTGTGACTCCAGAGGGACTGTTTTATTTCTTCCAGACCACTGCTTTGCTGTGCTTTTCCAAACCCCTATTAGTGGCATAAAACATAATGTACTGCCTCACTTATTAATATTTTAAGTTATCTATAAGCTATACAATGACTACCATAGATAGATTAAAATGAAAAGGTTCTATATTAATTTCAATGTCTGTTGTCTCAAAGAACCCAGAACGAATAAAGGAACAATTGTTTTTATAACAATAATCATTTTCTGGGGCTGGAGAGATGGCTCAGCGGTTAAGAGCACTGACTGCTCTTGCAGAGGACCCAGGTTCGATTCCCAGAACCCACATGGCAGCTATAAACCATCCTTAATTCCAGTTCCAGGGGAATCTGAAGACCTCTTCTGACCTCTGTGGCATTGCATGATATGGATGCACTCACATACATGTAGGCAATGCACTCATACACATAAAATAAAAATAATAAATAAAATATTTTTAAAAACCCATTGTCCTAATAGGAACATCACACAACTCCAGTCTCTCTCCTTAAATGTATTTTATTTAACTAATTTTATTTAACTAGCTATTTACTTTGAGACAGGGTCTCACTATGTACTCAGGTTGGCCTTCAACTCACTATCCTCCTGCCCTGGCCTCCCTGTTGCTAGGAATAAGGCATGCGCCACCCATGCCCAGATTCCTTAAATGTATTTTAGTAATGAGTTTGGTCATCCACAAGAGGCTGCCTACTTCTTAGCTAATTCTGGAAATTATAATTTTAGATGAATTAAACATCAAAATCAAGAAACATGTCAACAATCTAATCCCAGATATAAATAGTAAAGAGAACTGTCAATAGTACAGGTGGCATGATCACTGATACCCAAGAGACTAAACTGACAGACTATTTGAACTAAGAGAATTTAACAAAATGGCAGAACACAAGGTCAGCACCCTCAAATCCACAGCATTCTTTTCAAGATATGCTATGCTTATTACTACATGATAAGATAATTCACAAGGAAATAGATCTAGCTGAGGTATTATATCAGTTTTCCTTGATTGGATTATGTCCTGTAACTGAATGAAGTTAGTAAGAAAATAATTTTTTTCAGATACCTACTTCATCCACTGAGGTGAGAAGGTGAATAGTTTTTACTTTACTTGGTTTCTTAATAAGCATCTCACAAAATCGAAGGAAATTATACAGCTGAAAGAGATTAGGATGGATTATTCTCAACAAGTACAGTGGTCCCTCAGTGTCATGGGGAACTGATTCTAGGACACCCCTCCCCCAGCAAGACACTGAAGTCCACAGATGCTCAAATCCTTTATTTAAAATGGAGTATTAATCTAGAACCTACACACATCCTCCTGAATATTTTAAATCATCTCTAGATTATTTATGCTACGTAATACAAATGTAAATACTATGAAAACAGTCATTATACTGTGGTGTTTGGGGAGTAATGACCAAAAAATCCATACATGTTCAGTAAAGATGCAATTTTTTTTTTGGTCTTTTTTTGAGACAGGATCTCCCAATAGCCCCAGCTGGCCTGAAACTCACTATGTAGACCAGGCTGGCCTTGAACTCACAGAGATCCACCTGCCTCTGCCTCCAGAGTGCTGGGATTAAAGGCGTGTGCTACCATGCCCAGCAAGATGCAATTTTTAAAAAATATTTTTGATCCTCGGTTGACTCCATGAATAGGGAACCCATAAACACTGACAGCTGACTGTACATTTAAAACAGTATTTCATTATATTTTAATACATTTCACTTACCTGGTGAGTTTGTCTAATGTAAGGATCTTCTATCCAAACTTCTGTAACTGACTCATGAAGATATTCTTTAAAAAGTGACTCATAACTGAAACCAGTTGCATTCTCTTCTATTTTAATTTGCTTGTGATATTTTCCATCTATAAAACACAAGCTTCAGTAATGACCAGTGACCACTTTCTTTTTTGCATATTTTATATGTTGTGTATAGTGATTAATCAGGGCCAGTTACCATTTTTTGACATTTATTCATTCAGTAAATACTTATTCTATGCCTACTCTCTACACCCTGTGTATCAGTCACTTTTCTGTTGCTGTAACAGAAACACTGACCAAAACAACTTATAAAAGGAAGAGTTTATTTGAGCTTACAGTTCCAGGGGAATTACAGTGCATCATGGTGGGGAGGCATGGTAGCAGGAGGTGGCTGGGGCAGGAGCAGAAGGTAGAGCACTCACATCTTCAAGCAGGCACAAGAAGCAAGAGAGCTACTCCAGATCTGGCAAGCTTAAGAAGTCTCTAAGCCCGCCCCAAGTGATGTGCTTCCTCCAGCATAGTCATACTTTCTAAGACCTCCCAAAACAGTGCCACCAACTGGGGACAAAATGTCCAAATACTTGGAACCTATGGGGGACATTCTCATTCAAACCATCACACCCTGTACATTGCAAAATGCTATGTATGTATAGATAAAGAAGGCAAAATAACATCTGCAGGGGATTCTTGAAGGTCCAGGTTTCTTAAAACAGGATTCTGAACTGGATCCTGCAGACCAGGCAATTTATTTAAGAGGACTTGTGGGAACAAATATGTCAATAAGTTTCTATCACTGTGGGTAGAACACAAGCTCTAACTCAATAGTATCCGGCTCTTTTCTTCAGACATCTCTTTTTATACCTTACAATTTCACAGCTAAAGTGAATGTTAAACATAGAAACAGTATAATGGAGTTTAGAAGTCTTTCTTAGCAGTTCAAGAGTGTTTTAAAAGGCTTTGTTTGTTTGCAGACAGGGTTTCATGTAGACCAAGCTAATCACACACTACAACCTTGAATGCCTTATCCTTCTGCCTCTATTTCCAAGAGATGAGGTTATAGTAGTTCATTACCCTGTATGTGTTTTTTCAAGTTTTAAGGTTTCTAGGGTTTCTTTTGTTTGTTTTTGTCTGCTTGCTTTTGGTGTTGGAGATTGAACCCAGGACCTTGCACATGCTAAGATGTTACAAAGTGTCAGTTTCATGATTTCCAAAAAAAGATCTTTATGGCTCAGCGGTTAAGAGCGCTGACTGCTCTAACAGAGAACCCGTGTTCGATTCCCAGCACCCACATGGCAGCTACAAACCGTCCTTAACTCCAGTTCTAGGGGAATCCGAAGCCCTCTTCTGACCTCTGCGGCATTGCACAACACGGATACACTCACATACATGCAGGCAATACACTTATACACATAAAATAAAAATAATAAATAAAATATTTTTAAAAAGATCCTTATTTATTTTTATTTTATGTGTACAAGTGTTTTGCCTGCATGTGTTAAGTGCACTATATGTGTACCTGGTGCCCCTGGAGGCCAAAAGAGGGCACTGGCTCCCCTGGCACTGGAGTTCAGAATGGGTTCAGAATGAGTGTTAGCCATCCTGTGGGTGTTGGGAACTCAACCTGAGCCATCTGAAGAACAATAGGTGCTCTTAACCCCTAAGCCATTTCTCCAGCCCCAATATCACAGTGTTTTAAGTAGAAATTCACAGTACTACTTAACCCAAGTTAACCACTGGGAATCACTGGTTTTTGTTAATTCAAAATAAACAGTTACTCGATAAGTTTACAGAGCTTTTTTTTTTTTTTAATATAGTAGTTCTCTTATGGAATACCTCTTTAAAAATCAGTAGTTTGCAGCTGGTTAGCTCAGTTGGTTAGAGGATGGTACTAATAAAAATCAGTAGTTTGGCCAGGTGTGGTGGTGCACACCTTTAGTTCCAGCACTTGGGAGGCAGAGGCAGAGGCAGGTGGATCTCTGTGAGTTCAAGGCCAGCTTGGTCTACATCTACTGACTTGGCCAGTTCCAGGTCAGCTGGGGCTACAGGGAGACCCTGTCTCAAAAAAAAAAAAAAAAAAAAAAAAAAATCAGTAGTTTGGGCTGGAGAGATGGCTCAGAGGTTAAGAAGACTGGCTGCTCTGGCAGAGGACCTGGGTTTAATTCCCAACACCCACATGGTGGTTAACAATTATCCACAACTCCAGTTCCAGGGGAATCCAATGCCCTTTTCTGACCTTCACAGGCATTGTATGACACAGAGGCACTTACATACATGCAGGCAATACAGCCATATACATAAAATAAAAAGTGGACTTTCTTACAATACAGCCTCTAGTAAAGCTAGGCTATCCCCAAACCCTGCCAATAGAATTCTTCCTTTATACCCAGGTTGGGAAAGCATCAACATCTGCATGTAGTGCATGCACAGAAGACTTCAAGGGACTCACCCTTCGAGAACTGAAGTTCTTAAGAGATTGTCTGAAAAGGAAAGCCAAATCAGCAAGATCTAAACAGGTTCCACCTGTGTTAATGTGTCTGTCAGGACCAAGGAGATGAACACAGTTGAACGAGCCCTGAAGGTCTAGGTACAAACAGAAAGCTAAATCTAAAAGGTAATCTGTTTTGGGTTTTTTTTTTTTTTTTTTTTTTTTTTTTTTTTGTACTTGGGAGGCGGAGGCAAATAGATGTCTGAATTCAAGGCCAGCCTGGTCTACATAGTAAGTTCCAGGACAGCCAGGGCTACATAATGAGACCCTGTCTGAAAAAAAAAAAAAGTGAAGCTTAAATTTTTTTCTAATTTACTTTTATTTTATGTGTATGAGTGTTTTGTCTGCATACATGTAAGTGTACCACATGGGTACAATGCCCATGGAGGCCAGAAAAGGGCATCAGATGCCCTGAACTGGAGTTATAGATGGTTGTTGGCCTCTGTGTGGGCGCTGGAAACTGAACCTGGTCCTCTGCAAAAGCAGCCAGTGTTCTTAACCATTGAGCCATCTCTTCAGCCTTCCAAAGTTAAGCTTTTTGAATAATTTTTTAAAGTCTGGGTTACAGCCTAGCTCAGTGGTAGAATACTCATCTAGTAAGCACAAGAACCTGAGTTCAACCCCCAGCAAACCCCCTCCCAAAAAAACCACCCAGAGCAACAACAAATATTTCCATAAAGATAGCATTATCAGTTATGCATCAGTTATTTACTTATTTATTTATTTATTTATTTATTTATTTATTTATTTATTTTGTGGGGTGGTGTCTGAGAGTTTGCAATTTTGGGGGGTCTTTTTGAGACAGAGTCTCCCTGTAGCCCCAGCTGGCCTGGTACTCGCTATGTAGACCAGGCTGGCCTCAATCTCACAGAGATCCACCTGCCTCTGCCTCCCACGTGGTGGGACTAAAGGTGTGTGCCACCAAACCCAGCAGTTATGCATCAGTTTTTTAAGCCAACTAGTCACAAGGGCTAACTGAACTCTTTGCATGAGCCCCCATACTTTGGGTATGGTTGTATAGAGTACTAGGAAGAGGTGGAAAGAGGGTTGTAGTAAGGACAGACAGGAAGATCTGGGGCTTGGGGGACCAGGTTTCTGAGGGTACCAGCACTTGTGCCTGTAAGAAGCACCAGTTTATACTTCGGGTGAGGTGACCACGCTCATTTACACCGATGCAAATGGGGAGGGATTAATACAGAAGAATACCTACCTCACCTCTAGTTATTAGGGCTACTTAATGCTTGAATGCTTTGATTTACAACAAAATGTGAGAAGTCCCAGGAGTTTCTTTAGCTATTCTGATGATTTTGGTCTTTTATAAAGGAAAACCAAACAGCATCCATTCAGTAATCTTCTGTAGCATTTTTTAAACAGCGGTCCATGCATATGCTTCTTAGGGATATGCAAGTTCTTAAAAATGGCAAAGTTCTGCAGTGTTTATAACTTTTATCAGATGGGGAAAGGGTATATTACACCCCCTCCCAACTACAAAACCATAAAAATGGTTAAAAATAACTTCTAAATAGGAGGAAAGAAAATGCCAAGCAAATCTGTTAAGCTCCTAAGTCCAAGTGGCCCAGCCCACACAGAGCTCCAAAAGGCAGGAGCTTTGAACCCAGGGCCTCATGCAGCACCCTCCCACTGAGCCCCAGCCCTGGGCATGCTTTCTAAAACAGGCTTTTACCTTCTTTTTCTTGATCCAAGTATTTCTTTATGTTTTCTGCTCTATCCATGTAGTTAGAGATTTTTGTTCTGAGAGTACACCTCTTACTGGAATCTTTGGTGACTATAAAAACAAACAAACAAACAAACAAACATCTCAAGGTGAAAAACTGTTTTTCTATTTAGTTCATCTTTCTTCCAGTCCTTAAAGCTTTGCAGATTTTTTTTTTTTTTTAAATCCTTTACGATGTTTGCCTCAGGCCTAGAAAACTCAGATGTTAAGCTCAAATTCAGTGTGGAAGAGGTCATTCATTTTCACATCAGGCATCTGAAGCAGCTTAGTTTAGGAGTGGGGACTCTGATACCATCTTATTTCTGTGAAAAAAATGGCACAGTACACCTCTAAACAACTTGAATCAAGCACTGCTTTGCCTTAATTACCCACAGGTTTGAAATTGTAGCTTAATTAAAAGATTAGAAAGACTATCACCTATAAAACCTTTCAAATTTCCACATTATAGTTAATGCTCAATTATTTTTCCAGCCACCAAAAAAATAAGTTATTTTGGATATATGTTATCAATAAATCTTATCATGCCCCAAGCCCCAAATCACTGCTGTGTCCCTCTTTAACATTACTTAGCAACTTTGATTACTTAGTTAAGGTTCAGTCAGATTTTCCCAGTCATCACTACTTTCTCCTATGTAGTTAAAAAATACCTTGTAGGAAAACACCTTGTTGTTGATGGTCCTTGCCTGCGATGAGTGACTAATGTTTTCAAAATGTTTTTTTGTTCACTTATTTTAATCAAGAAAAATTATATATTCCAATTATTTATTGAAATCAGTATAGACTTGTGGATGCTTCTGGGTTACAATCCTACACTATTATTTTCCATTTCAAATTTTATCAGCTTTGACTGTGACATCTCTTTTATGTTGGCATCTGTGTCCTTTCAACATGCCCTGATCACTTTTGAATACTTTCTTACTTTGGGGTTTTGGTTGTTTTTGTTGTTGTTGTTCTGTTTTATTTTTAAGACAAGATCATGCTATGTAACCCAGGCTGGACTGGAACAGACTTTGTAGTCCAGGCTGGCCTCAAACTCATGATCCTCCAACCTCAGTGCTAGAATTACAGACATGTACTTTCAGATGCAAGATGTTTTAACCTATCTTTGTATTTCCTCCTCCACCCTTGCAACCAACCATTTTTCTGAAACCTGTTTCCTTGTATAGAAGAATGGTTCTCAGACAGCTACATTCTGGGTGCCCAGGACATGCTCTGCTACTGGGTCAGCCCACCATTACTTCCAGCTCCTCTCCAGCTGGGAATACATGCAGGCTTACCAATATATGCATACTTTAAACATTATTTGTATCTAACTGTATTTTAAAACATGAGTTTATGCTGAATGAAGTTCATTCTGGCCTTTACCCTTTCCTTATCTGTAACTTCTTTTACTACTCACAAAATATTAGTTACTTGTTTTAATTGAAGGATACACACAAGGTAGTTTCAGACTTCCTAACCCATACCTGTGTGAGAAACAAATTTACCAAACTAGAATACAATGTTTGTATACTACTTATTTGCCTTAAATTTATACAATAGTCAAAATGTTATATTCTAAGATATTAAGGTTATCTCTTTTTTCTTTTCCTTTTTCCTCCCTCCTCCCTCCCTTCCCCTCACCCTTTTTTTTTTTTTTTTTTTGTTTGCCTGGGGGGGTCATATACTCAGGATCAAGTTTTATAACAAGCATATAACTTGGTTTTGATGCTCTCTCCTACTGCCGCTACTGCTGTAGCAGCCCGACTGCCTTTTGCAAACATCCACCAAACACTATGCATAAGCTATTCTGCCCCATCAAGACAGGCTCTGTATTTTCAAGCATAAGTCTGTATTATCTCATTGTTTTTTGGATAGGACCCAGGGTAGCCTCAAACTCACTATGTATCCAAGAATGTCCTCAAACTTATTCTCCTGCCTCCACCTCCCCAGTATTGGTGTGTACCATCATGCCCAGTTTATGTGGTTCTGAGGGTAGAACCCAGGGCTTCATTCACACTAGATATGCACTCAAGTAAATGAGCTATATCCCCACCTCAGTTACTTATTTTCTTCCTCCTTCTTATACATTACAATTGAATAACGTATCCAAGAATGTCCTCAAACTTATTCTCCTGCCTCCACCTCCCCAGTATTGGTGTGTACCATCATGCCCAGTTTATGTGGTTCTGAGGGTAGAACCCAGGGCTTCATTCACACTAGATATGCACTCAAGTAAATGAGCTATATCCCCACCTCAGTTACTTATTTTCTTCCTCCTTCTTATACATTACAATTGAATAACTCAGATCAGTGTCAGTCATTCTTTACCTACCCCTCCCTGACTTCCTAACATCATCTCACCTACAACACTTAAGTTAATTAGTTTCTGGTTATATCTTTCTGTATTCTAAATAAACACCATCTTATATCTTCTCTTGGATATGGGTTAAGTGTGCCCCCCAAAGGCTCATGAAGTGGAAGCTTAGTCCTGTGTGATAATGTTAGGAAACAGTGAAATCTAAGTGGTAGAGCTTAGTAGGAGGTCACTGGGGATGCTGCCCTTCCAGGGGATTAAACCAGTTCTGCTAGGATACCAGTTAATTTCTACAAATAGTTCCTATAAAAGAGCAAGACAGGGGCCAGCCAAGATGGCTCAGCAGGTAAAGGTGCTTGCCACCAAGCCCAAGGACCTGAATTTGATCCCCGGGACCCAAATGGTGGAAAGAGAGAACAGACTCTTGTTAAGTTGTCCTGTGACCTCCACATGTGCACTATGGCATGCTCAAAGACACACGCACACACGCACACACACACACACACACACACACACACACACAAATAAATGTAAAAAAGGAGCAAGACAGACCCTTCCTGCTCTCTGGACGATCTCCTTCTATCTCACAAGTACTCCTGCTGTTGTGATTCCACCCACCATGACCTAGTACGGCAAGGGGTGCAATTACCAGGGCCACTACCAAGTTGTTTGGACTTTTAAACTCCAAAATTGTGAGTTAAATAAACGTCTCTGTCTCTCCAAATTACCCAGCTTCAGGTACTCTGCTATAGTGATAGAAAACTGACTAATACAGTATATAGAAATTCTTTGTCCTTTGTAATTTTCATTTAATATACTCAGGGAACTACTCCATATCAGTTAATAAATCTATCTCCCTTGTTTTTTTGTTTTTGTTTTTTTTTTTTTTTAAATAGTAACACAGTTGCAGAGTGAGTTTGATGCTGGCCTGGGTTGCACAGGAAGATCCTGTCTCAGAGTAGAGAATGGGAGAAAATCTATGCCAGCTATATATCTGACAGATGGTATCCAGAATATGCAAATAATTTTTAAAACTAAGCAAAGAAACAGAAGACTCAATTTTAAAAATGGGCTAAGAAACTTAAAAGAGAGTACTCAAAAGAAAAAAACACAAATGGCAAATAAATATTTTAAAAGATGCTCAACATCCTTGGTCATTAGGGAAATGCAAATTAAACCTACTTTGAGAGTCCATCTCACCCTAGTTAGTATGGCCATCATCAAGCAAACAAAAGACAACAAATGCTGGTGAGGATGTAGAGAAAGGGAAGCCTTTATTCCTGTAGGTCAGAGTGTAAACCTATGTAGCACTATGGAAAACAGTGTGGTGATTTCTCAAAAAGCTAAAATTAGAATTTCAATATGACCCAACTATACCAATCCTGGGCATCTACCCAAGGGACTCTATATCCTACCAGAGATACTTGCACATCAGTTTACTGTTGCTTTATTCACTATAGCAAGGAAATGAACTTAGCCTAGATGTCCGTCAATAAATGAATGGATAATGAAAATGTGGTACACACATGATGGAACTGTATTTGACCATAAAGAAAAACAAAATTTCCAGGAAAATGGGTGGAACTAAAAAATATATTAAATGAGGTAACTCGGGCTCAGAAAGACAAACACCACATGCTCTCTCTCACATATAAAGCTTAGAAGCTAGGATTTATAGATGTACGTTTATGTAAGAGTGAGTGTGTGTAGAGCCCAGCAAAGGTTTAAGTGGGGAGGGGGATGGGGGAGAGGGTCAACCAAAATTAACAATGCAAGGAAAAGCTGTATGGAAATCTTTTACTTGGTAAGCTAATCAGAAAACAATTTTTTTTGACTTTTTGAGACAGGGTCTCCCTGTAGTCCCAGCTGACCTAGAACTCACTGTGCAGACCAGGCTAGCCTTAAACTCACAGAGATCCACCTGCCTCTGCCTCCTGAGTGCAGGGATTAAAGGTATGCACCACCATGGCCCGCCAGAAAACAAGATTTAAAAAAAAAAGAGCTTGAGTGGAGGTAACCTTTGTAGATGGATAAAGCTACTCTCAGAGGCCATAGGTTACTAAGGGAAAATCTCAGTGCCAGAGTACACTATCTCCCTACGAGGTGTTGGCCAAGGAGGCCTCTGAGATCTAAAGACACCACATGCTTTGGTCACTGAACATAAATAAATCAATATGGAATTGAGTTAAAGACTTCCTTTCTGCTGGCTAGCTTTCATAGTTCTGGAAGGTGCTACATAGGCTGCTGAGAGAGGATTACCATTAACAACCTTACTCAGCTGTGCATTGTGTGCGCAGTAAAACCAACTCACCAGGCAAGATGAGCCCACTGGTGCAATAGGATCAAGTCTGTTATGGGGTCAACAGCAAGTTTCTAGTTGTATTTGATGGCTGCCTATCAGGAAGAAATTCACTTATGGTACTGCAAACCTGATCACAAGACCATGGCTGTTGAGGTCTTAGGTACTAGGGGAAAAGCTACTGCTGTTGTTTTATTAACTGGACATGATGTATCTGTTAAACTCCTTTTAAATAACTGTGTTTATGCCCATAGAACAGTGCTAGTGTCAGCTTATCAGCGAAGCATCTTTTCCAGTGATCGGCAGTGACTGCAAAGACTTAAAACTGGTCTAAGTACTCAGAATAAATGACTGTTGAATGCCCAGCCATAGTGGGCCATGTATAACACCTTCCTGAGTATTTATGTGCAGAGAATGGTTGATAGGAAATGGAGAGACATTTTCTTCAATGCTGTAGCTAAAGGTAAGGTGCACGTCTTCCTGTAAACAAACTCACCCAGAGAATAAAGTTCATTCAAACTCAGGCCCTCATTTTAGAATGTAGTACCCCGCGCCCCTTCACGAGGACATCAATCTATTACACAGGTCTCCAGCCCAGGTGCCCAGCAGAGCATTCCACCTTCTATTTTGAATGCTTCCTGGTAATTCGAAAGTTTCCTGTTTTAATTTCACTTTACCCCAGAAACAGCGGAAACCGAAACCAGCTCTTAGGGTCCTCCCCCTCCAGAGCTCACCTTTCAAAACCTGCAGCAGCATATCAATCCCCTCTTGGTAACACACCAGCGCTTGCTGGTACCGGTACTCGGCGTCCAGTTCCACCGCCCGCTTCAGCACCGCCACCGCAGCGGTGTTGTCAGGATCGTGCCGGAGGCTGAACTTTGCCATGACTGCACGAACTCTCGGGCTCCGCGGGCTGCCGATGAAGTTGAGCTGATGCACCAAGCTTCCGGGAAGCTCTCACGTGACACGGCCGCGTAGTGCTCTCTTCTAAAAGTACCTCGTGAATAGGAGGGACTTGGCCTGAACTAAAATTCCTTTCCCCGGAACTAAAGAACTGTGTGCACGGCGACCGCCACGTTGGGGTTTGAATGTTGCACCGGGTCCTCCTGCCTGTGTTCCGCGTCCTCCTGTTGGTGGGAAGTTGAGGCTTAGTGGACGCGGGTGAGTGGGGACGCGGTGGCTGGAAGCGTTGCATGTCATCGTCTGGGCACTCTGCAGATGGTAGTTGATTTCCTGTTCCGTTCCGAGTTGGATCTCGACGACCTAGATGCCCCTGTGCCCGGCACTTAGCCGGAGACCGGCTGGATGTCTTTGTCCTAGGGTTGCCCGGTCGCGCGGCTTGCTTGAGCTCCTGGAACTCTAGGTTGTATGGCTCGGGAAGGGAACTCACGTTTGCCGTTTTTTTGGTGCTTCTGCTTTATTTATAACTTTAGGACTCCATTGAGTGTGAGTGAAATTTGTTTTTAAGAAGGAAAAACATTTTTTTTTTAATGCAGTTTCTGGATTTTGACACTTAAAATTTTGCTGTTTACTAAAGACTGATATTTTTGCGAGGAAGTTTTTTGATCGTCGTATTCCCAAGCTGGTGCTTCTGTTTTGGCCAAGAGGTAGTTATGAGGGTCGCCAATTACTTTTTAGGCACCAAGAATTCAGAAGAGAGACATTTTTGTTGATTTCTGAGGTCTCAGTTTACTGCATGGAAAATTCCGTGTTCTACATTTTCATTAGTTTCTCCTCCCTGTTAAAAATATATGCCTTGTCACTTTAGAAAAAGAAAAAAAATTAAAAACCATTTAAGAGCCGGGTTGTATATTGGGGGTAAAAAACCATTTACATGCACTATCACTGTAACACACACACACACACACGCACACACGAACAAAACTATCAGACAGTGGGCAGGGGAGAAGGAAAATGATTTTTGATTACCCTCAGAATTTTCTATGTATACACACATATTCACGGATTTTTTTTTAAGTAAAAATGGGTTAGATTCATATGATGCATGGTATTTTTCTGGTTTTGAAGCTATAGAAGAGGAAAGCCTATGTGTAATAGAAGGCAATATAATTGCTTCAGGGTCCAAAAGTTACATACCTAATAAGAATAGCCTCTACTTTATTAACACATAAATTTTTGGAGCTAGGGATGAAGCTTGGAGTGCTTACCTTTTTAATTTAAATTTTATTTTATGTGTGTGAGTATTGCCTGCATGCATATAGGTGCATCTGTGTCGTGCGGTGCCTGGGGAGATCAAAAGTGGGCATTGGATCCCCTGGAACTGGAGTTACAGATGTTTGGCAGCCACCATGTGGGCGCTGGGAATCAAACCCCAGTCCTCTGCAAGAGCAGCCAGTGCTCTTAACCACTGAGCCATCTCTCCAGCCCCATGCTTACCTTTTAGATGCAAGGCCCAAGGTTTAATCCCCAGTACCAAACAAATAAAGCAGTCTTGATGGTCACACCTACTTATATATACAAACTAAACTTCAGCAGAAAATCTTAAGTTCCTGCTGTGGGGTAGATGCTGCTTTAGAAGGATAATTGGGACACATCTATAAATTGAACAGATCCAAAATAAATTTTAAAACACTGTCCTGTGGAGTCAACATGCTTTGAATGGAGACAGACACTAACTGACAGACCTAGAGAGTTATATTAGAAAAAGAGTGCATGGGAAAATATTCAAGTAGAGCAAGAGGCACCGGAGGGCTAGCACTTGGATGAGTGAAGCTGTTAAATAATGTGGTCAGGGTAAAGTTCGTTGAGAAATGAGATTTGAACCAACATTGAGAAAGGTAAAGCCATGTCAGGATCAGCCAAGCCAGTCAAAGGGAGCAAATATGCCAGCATGGCAAATTCTAGGTCAAGCAGGAAGGCCAGCTACTCTGGAAACAAGGTGGAGAGCACTAGAAGAAGATAACTGACACTGCACACACATGAACACATACGCCAACATGTATAACACACACAAAAGACCATTGCCAGCTGCATCCCTGGTTCCCGTGGGTGCCCGGGACCCGGGATTGACCTGTGACCATGAACAGTCACAGTTACGCATTCTGGTGGGAAAAAAAAAAAAAAAAAGATAAAGCCAGGCACAGGGTAGAATTTGGATAATGAATCTAACAGCACCACTATCCAGAAAGTAGTTGGAGATAAAGGTGAATAAGAGGGAAGATGGGGTGGAGAAGGTTGGCAGTGATGTGCCACAGATTGGGGTACAGTGAGGGAGGAGTGCAAGGTATTGAACCCAAGGGCTTGTGCATGACAGGCAAGCGCTCTACCTCTGAAATCACATCCCCAGCCCTGGCTTAAATTTTTCAATAAATGAACTTTAAACCAATTTTAGATTGCCAGAGAAGCGATGAAAATAGAGTGCAGTTCTGTATGTTCTAGACCCAGTTTCCCCATTTAACACAGTACATTAGTGTAGGACATTCATTATAGCTGGTGAACTGATATACATTATTAACTTTATCTGCTTTATTCAGACAGATTTCCTTAGTTCTGCCCAGTGTCCTTGTGTTCTTTCATATTCCAGGATCTCATCCAGGATACCAGTGTGGTATACATTACATGTATAGATCATATCTCCCCAGATACCTCTTGACTAAGTCCTCAGGTTTTCTACTTTGTGATGACCTTGATGGTTTTGAGAAGTTAGGCATTTGAAATGTATTAGTAAAGTGTTTTGACAATGACCCTCAATCAGGAATTTTCTCTCAAAGTGGCTTATGTGCTTTGGGGAGGAAGACATCCTCATTGCCTGTTGCATCAAGTGCAGATGCTAGCAACACTATTTTGTTTTGTGACAGGCACTCACTATGTAGCTCTGGCTATATGCTATCAACTCTCATCACTGTTGCTGTTAAGGATCCACTGGAGGTAGTGTTTGCCAGCATTTCCATCTATAGAGATCATTTTCCTTCGTGTTTTGTTTTTTGTCTTTTTGCGACAGGGTCTCTCTGTAGCCCCAGCTGTCCTGGAACTCGCTATGTAGACCAGGTTGGCCTCGAACTCACAGAGATCTGCCTGCCTCTGCCTCCTGAGTGCTGGGATTAAAGGCGTGCGCCACCACGCCCAGCCATTTTCCTTCTCTATACTATATCCTGTGGGAACAAGTCATTAGCTATAGCTCACACTAAAATGATGAGTAGTAGTTTTTTGCTGCCTCCTTAGTAAGGGCTGGGGGCAGTTGTAATAAATTATATAGAACTCTCCTGTACAGGACCTTTGTTTTTCTTATCTATGTATATCAGTGTAGTTACACATATTTGTGTTTGGTTTAGGTTGTAAGCTGATACTTTTCCTTTAATATACCCGTATTGGTTTGCATTTTTAAAAGATATTTGTTTTATTATTTATGTATGTGTATGTACACGCATGTGAGTGCCCACAGAGGCCAGAAGAAGATGTTGGATCCCTTGGAGCTGGAGTTACAGGTAGTTGTGAGCCACTGTTGTGGGTGCTAGGAACCAAACTCAGGCCGTCTGCAAGAGCAGCAAGTACTCTTAACCACTGAGCCATCATTTCCCCTGGTTTATATTTTTGAGTAATGCCTTTCTGATACTACAAGGTGCTCCAGACAGATCAGCTGTTTCTTGAAGGAGCCTGGTTCTTTTTAGTAGAGAATGATAGTAGAAACCAAGATCTGGGCCCAGGGTATGTTTGTCACTACTGGGTGCTATTGATTTAGGTCCTTTTAGCTAATAGAGCCACCCCCCATGTATACATGCATATCTATATCCATCAGTGGCTATGGTAAGCTAAACATGAGTTCCAATTCCAATACTTTATACATAGATTAGTCTAGCCTTCCTTTCTTTCTTTTATGTAACTCCCCATTTCGTCAGTAACCTTGCTTTTTGGAAGGTTTTGAGCAGAGGGAAATGATTTAATGAGATGACTTGTTGCTATAACAGGGGTGAAGATATATGAAGAGAACTGGAATGGAAATCAGAAGGCTCATTCAGAGGGTTTTGTTGAAATCTAACTGAAGATTTAATAAAGTGACACTGAATGAGTTGGATTGGTATATAATGTATAACTTGAGAGAAGTATGGGAAAGTAACTTAGCATTCAAATTGACGTAGTTGCTGAGCAATTTTTCTGAGGTCTGGCTCTTCAGGTGACACCCTGGATGATTCTTTCAATTCTGTCACTTTGTTTAGATCACAGAAAAACATTGCAGAGTTTGAGTGAGCTAGAATCTTTTGAACATTGAAATACAGCATTTACTGTATTTCAGTATATAGAGCTGCTATTTCTGGTGTTTTATAAAATAGCTTATTTGCAGGATAGGTACTATTTTCCTTTCGGGATGGGTGGAGCAGTATAGGAATGATGCACACCTGTAATTTATCCAAGATGTGCATACAGTTCATGACCCTAATCTGTGTGTTCTCAGTATGCATTAGGCTATCCTGTTTTGCTCCTACCTCAGTACATATGACCTTTCTAGGTTAAAGAAGCAATGCAGAATAGTTTCTAAAAATACAAATAAGCAAAAAGCGGCCTTTTGTTGCGTGTGCATGTATGTGTGCACATATATCAGGAGGACAGAGGTGTCTTCCTCAGTCATTCTTCACCTTATTTTTGAGACAGAGTCTTACAACCTGGAGCCTGCTGATTCAGTTAGGCTGGCTAGCCAGCAAGCTCCAAGAATCTCTCTGTCTCCACCCTAACCCAGCACTGGCCACAGACATAGGCCACTATGCTCAGCTTTTTCAAGGGTACTGGGAATATGAACTCAGGCCCTCATTCTTTCACCACAAGCATCTTACCAACAGCTATCTCCCTAGCCCCAAACTCTCTTAATTTAACAGAAAAGTGTTATTAAGTGAAAATTCACTGGACTGCTAACTAGAATTGGATTTGAGAGCACGGTGTACTTTCTTTTTTGTTATTGCTGTTTTGAGATAGTTGCTATATAATCCAGAATGGCCTGGAATTCAGCATCTTCCTGCCTGAGGCTTTCCTGTTCCTGGGATTATAGGCATGTGCCACCACACTTGTCTGGATGCCCTTGGATAAATAGTAACTTTGGGAGTCATTTTCCTCAGACAAAAAGTAAGAGGGTGCTCAGTTCTAATTCTAAGAGTTGAAATTTCCTTCAGTCTTATGTAGTTTTTGTATTTTCCGTGATTTCTCTGACAAAGCATTCTTTATACTCATTGTGAAGATATTTCAAGTGATAGTAAACTCTCATTTCCCAGCTTTGTGGAATGAACCTAGGCTCCACACTCACTAGGTGAAAATAGGATTGGTTAATGAATAATTACTACCTGTGGTTTTACCACCACAGAAGGGGGAATCTGTGCATTTGTAACATATTTAACCAACAAGTCTATTTTCTACTTCTCACAGCCTCTGAGGAGAATTGCTGCTTATGGCAGGGATTTTGCGCTCAGTGGTTCAGAAGTCCTCAGGCACACTACAGGTAAGTTTTTCTAATGTGAATCTTACTTTTCTCAGGCTAACATTCAACTCACTGTGTAGCTGATGATAACCTTGAACTTCTGATCTTCTGCCTCTACTTTCCAAGAGCTCAGTTTTATACAGTGCTAGGGATGAAACCCAGGTCCTTGTACATGCTAGGCAAGCATCCTGCCAATTGAGCTACATCCTGAGCCCAAGGGTTTTCTTCTTTTCTCTCTCTTTAATTATAAAACATACACGTAACTTACATTCTTTTGTAAGTTCCTTTTTTCATGAATTCGTCTTGTTTTTATTTGTTTTGTGGTGCTAGAGCTCAAACTCAGAGCCTTGGGCACACTAGGCAAGCACTCTGTAACCGAGTGGTACCCCCAGCCCTTATTTTCATTTTATCTGCTATTTTATTCCTGAAGATTTTCAGTCACAAAACATCTTTTCCTGTCGCTCATACCAGTAAGAAATTGACTACTATTGATTCCCCTTAGTGTCCTTTAATGTTAAAGTTTGGGGGAAATCCTTTAATTATGGAAAGAGCACATTCAACACAGAAAGTCAGAAACATATAGAAAAGCAGAAGATAAAGTCTCCTGAGGAAGAGAAATGTGTTAGTACTTTTCATGCATTCCTGTCTAGTGTTTTAGAAAGTGCAGCAAGATAACACACAGAGGCCAGTCTGGATGCAGACCTGACATAGACAGGTTCTTGATACAGACCAGTGCCTGGCACAGATGACGAGAATGTTGGTATCTTGGATTAATCTTTTTTGTTTGTTTGCGTTTGCTTTTTGAGATAGGGTCTCACTATGTGCACTCGCTGGTCTGGTATTCTCTATGTAAACCAGGTTAGCCTCGAACTCACAGAGATCTGCCTACCCTGCCTCCTGAGTGTTGGGATTAAAGTTGTGTACCACTGCACCTGGCTCCTTGGGTTAATCTTAGGAATTCATTATTATTTCTGAGGGGGAATGTGTCTCATGTCTTATAGTCATAAGCAACAGAACTAGGATTAGAAGCCCTGTGTTTCTGGGTATTTTCTGTACTTTCTGTTTCATGCTCCCAACTTTCTGCTTATTCTGTAGTTGTTTATGTCATCTGTGTAATACAGGGAAGGCCAGAAGGGAATGGCTAATATGTCCACAGAGCACTTTCCTGCTGTGAAAGGTTGGCAGTGAATAATCCTTTCTTCCTGCAGCCAGAGAAAAGTAGGATTGGAGTAGCAAAACAGGAACAAGAGACAGGAGCTAGGGACGATGGCACTGTTGGTATACAAAGAGCTCACTGTAGATTGGCTATGTTTCTTAATATTGTATCTTGCTCTGTAGTTCAGGCTGGCTTCAAACTTGAAGCAGTCTTCCTGCCTCAGCCTCTCAAATGCTGAGATTATAGAGGTGAACCATCACTCCCACCTCATCTTAGATTTCCTTTACACTATTTGTTCACTATCTAGTTCATTATTCACCATCTAGAGCAAGAGTTGGTAAACCATGGCCCACCACTTACCTTTCTTTAATATTTTATTTATTATTTTTAAATTTTTTATGTGTATGAGTGTATTGCCTACATGTATTTAAGTGACCCATGTCGTGCAATGTCCACAGAGGTCAGAAGAGGGTGTCAGATCCTCTTGGAACTAGATTTATGGACAGTTATTAGCCACCATATGGGTGCTGGGAATCAACTGGGTCTTCTGCAAGGGCAGCCAGTGCTCTTAACCACTGAACTATCTCTCCAGCCCAGACCATCATTTATCTTTTAAACAAACTTTTATTGAAACATAGCCACTTCCATTTGTTTGCATATTGCCTGTTACCAGCATTCACCCTATATCATCAGTAGAGACTGAATAACTCAGAGCTGGATAGATTTGCCTCGGGTCCTTTATAGAAGGATGTTACCAACCCCTGGTCCAGAAGTCTATGTATCTGTGCTTTTAGCTTCTTAATTTGTTAGTGGTTAAGTGGGGTTCATCCATCCAGTTGGGGAGCCAAGTTAAGCCTTTAACAGTTGTCAGAACAGATACTTGTCACTTAAAAATTGGTGAGTATGGATTTCTGCACTAGACTGAGTTCTAAAGAACAAATGTTTTGTATTTTAGACTGTGACAGATGGTGTGAAATCACTTATTGGCACACATTGGGTTCGCCACAAATTTACCAAATCAAGAATTCCCGATAAAGTAAGACCTGTTTATTTTTACTGTTTTTTTAAAAAATATTTTATTATTTTTATGTGTATGAGTGTATTGTCTGCATGTGTGTACATGCACCCGTGTTGTGCAGTGCCCTCAGAGGTCAGAAGAGGGTGTCAGGTCCCCTTGGAACTGGAGTTGTAGACAGTTGTTAACTGCCATGTGGGTGCTGGGAACCGAACCCAGGTCCTCTGCATGAGCAGCCAGTGATCTTAACCTCTGAACCATCTCTCCAGCCCCTAATGCTACTGTTTTTTGTTTTTGTTTTTGTTTTTTCTCTTTTTGATACAGGGTCTCCTGTAGCCCCAGCTGGCCTGGAACTCACTTTGTAGACCAGGCTGGCCTTGAACTCAGAGAGATCCACCTGCCTCTGCCTCCTGAGTGCTGGGATTGAAGGTGTACACCACCACATCCAGCATGCTACTTTTTTTAAAAAGAACATTTTGAAAGCTTCCTATTTTATAATACTGCAATTTTTAAAAACTTTTTAATTACATTTTATCTCTGTGTGTGTGTGTGTGTGTGTGTGTGTGTGTGTGTGTCTGTGTCTGTGTCTGTATGTGCACATTCACACACTATCATGTGCATGTAGAAGCCAGAGGAATCGCTGTGGAGTCATGTGCCTACCAGGGGTCAAATCCAGGTTATCAGGCTTGACACAAGCACATTTACCACTGAGCCATCTTGCTGGCCCCAATGTTACAAGTTTTTCTGTTAAGTTACATGTGCATATAGATATAATACAGAGTTTGAAACATGAAGGATTGGTGATTACCAAGAATAAAATTGCTCTGCTCTAGTCCCACTGTCTTCTATAGGAATGAGCTTCTCTTATTCCCTTTATATTTTGTGTTTTTGTGTCACCACTGTCTTGAGGAAATATCAAGTCTTTCTGCTGAAACTGTCACTGTGTGACTTAGTTTCCCCCCCTACAGAAACCTTTTCTCCTTTGAATATTTTGTCTTTTTTAAAGTCATTATTTTAGAAAATACAGACTAAGCCCTTCATTGATTTTATGATTTCATTTTGTTTTATTTTACTTGCTTTTTGATTACTAAATTTTACTTTGTAAGGCAGTTTAGTTTTACAGACAAAAAATGATCAGGAAGTATAGTCTACCTCTGCTTCCTTCCACCAACAGTTTCCCCTAACATTAAACATTTTGAACTCTTGAAATTGACAAAATAATGCCAGCATTAACTAAAGGCCATAGTTTACAGGTTGTATAGTTTATGGATTTTGACAAATGCACAGTGTCATGTATTCACTATTAAGTATCGTACAGAAACCTCACACTGCCCTAAATGTCACCTGTGTTCCACCTGTTCAACCCCACTCTTAGCTCCTAAACCCTAGCAACCAATAATCTTTTTACACTTTTTCACAGTCCCAGAATGCCACATAGTTAGAATCATATAGTAGGTAGATAAGATTCTTCAAAGTCTTTATTGTTGTTGTTTTTGTCTTTTAGAGACAGGGTCTCTCTGTAGCCCCAGTTGGCCTGGAACTTGCTATGTAGACCAGGCTGGCCTTGATCTCACAGAGATCCCAGCTATTCGTGCTGGGATTAAAAGTATGAGATACAACACCTGGTTCGTCACTGTCTTTATGACCTAATTGCTTATTTCTTCCAATTGCTGACTACCGTTCCATGCTAGGATTTCTACAGTTTATCTGCACTCACCTACTGGAGGCATCCTGATTGCTTTCAGTTTGGGGCAATAATAAAGTTGTGCAGCTCTTTTTTGGTGCATTCAGTAAACATTTAGAAGCACAGTTGCTGGGTTATAAAAACCATTTTGCCTCTGGAGAGGTTGTTTGTTTGACAGGAGGGTAGTTTTTCTGTTTGGATTTTCCCCCTAACTTTTAAAAACGTTAAGTATGCAGAACAGAATTTTCCATCTTAATCTTAATTTCACATTTTGGAGTTTTTAGGTTTTGTAATATCTTTTCAGAGTGTACTGGTTGAGAATCCCATTCTAAAAACCTGAAGTCTATACTGCTCTTAGTTGAGTGGGTTTCAGATGATGGATGCTCAGTCTGCCGTGCTCTTCCATTTTCTTGGCATTTGAATTCTTCCATGTCACCTGGTTGTTCCTGCTTTGTTCTAACAGTTAAAAAACAAAACCTTTATCTGGGTGATATTTTTCTTAAAATATGTAGTTCTTGGACTCTGTCTGAAATACTCAGTTTGAGGTTGAGGATTATATAAACATAAGGGATGAAGGTGTGTGTGTATGTGTGTGTGTGTGTGTGTGTGTGTGTGTGTGTGTTTCATTTTTAAGAACAAGTACTATATAGAAACCATAAGTTGGAAGAGTTACCATTTATACTTCCTCTTTTGTAGGTGTTTCAACCTAAACCTGAAGATCATGAAAAATATGGTGGGGACCCCCAGCACCCTCATAAACTTCACATTGTTACCAGAATAAAAAGTACAAAAAGGCGTCCATACTGGGAGAAAGAAACAATAAAGATGCTTGGACTAGAAAAAGTATGTGGCAATTTCAGTCATCTCTCTAGGCTCTAAATCTGCTTTAGTCTCATATTTTTAAAACCATAATTATATATTTATTATTTCTGTGTTTAAATGTGTTACTTAATATAACTTATTTGTAAGTTTGATTTAGACAGAATGAGTCTTCAATTTACTGTTTTCCTGAAACACTGCCATCTGCTTTTAAATTGACCCATAGCATTGTTCCTTTTGTTCATAGGCACACACCCCTCAGATTCATAAGAACATCCCTTCCGTGAATGCAAAATTGAAAGTGGTCAAACACTTGATAAGGTTTGTTGATTTCCTCTTCACTTTTTAAAAATGTGTTATCTAAATTCTAAATGTGTTTTGTATGCTGCAGAATCCAGCCCCTGAAGCTGCCACAAGGACTTCCAACAGAAGAGAACATGTCCACCACGTGCCTCAAGAGCACTGGGGAGTTGGTGGTGCAGTGGCAGCTGAAGCCTGTGGAGCAGGATGTAAAGTCCTGATGCCTCCCCAGGGCTTCAGAGTGAAGAATGAAGGCCATTGCTGTTATTTAAAAGGAAGTGTTTTCATTAAAGTATATTTTAAATCCACTCATTTTCACTGGCTGAAGCTCTTGTGATTCTCATTATATAGATTTGGGGATCTAGATTCTATTACTTGGTTTAATTCTCTCCCCTTTCCCCCTAAGAATTTTACTCCACAATGGGTAAGAATAGCATTGTTTGAACAACTAGCTTTGGGCCCACTAACACTTTAACAATTGTCATTATCTTTTTGTAGAAATTACTTTATTACTTAATTGCTTCCTTGTTGAATTCTGCAAATTTTCTGAGTGGCTGTGTCTTAGTCCATTTGCACTGCTGTAATAAAATAGCTGAGACTGGGCACCTTATGAGGAAAAGGGGTTTATTGGTTCTAAGTACTGAAAAGTCTAAGCTAGGGCAGCCATATCTCTTGAGGTCTCCTGCAGGGCCATAGCAGGATGGTTGGTGTCACACGGCTTGAGCAGAAGAAATCAGATACAAGAGAGAAAGCAAGAGAGTAAGTAAAGGACGCTAAACTCATTTATGACCACCTGCTCTCAAAAGGTGGGCACTAGTCCTTTCTGGGTGCAGTGGCCTCAAGGTCTACTCATCGTCTACAGACCCACCTCATATACATCTACCACATTGAAGACCAGTTTTAGCACATGAACATTTTGGATGACAAACCACATCCAAATGACAGTGAACACAGCTACTTTGGAGAATTCCAAAGCTGGCCCAAACATGCCCTTTGGGAGCTTTGATGTATCTAGTGAACTAAAATGCAGCCAAAGGCATAGAACAGGGGATATGGCTAGATCACTGCTTTGTGTCTCCGTGTCTGTAAATGAACCTCCATGGGTTCATTTCATCCCTATTATGTAGGCTGCACTCTACTTGGATAAAACATGCACTTCTGTATAAAGTTTTCTTCTTGGAGTAAGGGTGTGTATGAGGTAAAAGCACTATAGGAATTGCTTAGCAACAGTGCATTCTGTTTGAAGCTTCAAAATAAATGTTTTGTTTAAATTCTTAAGGAACCTTTGTCAGTAATTGAGTTTGCTATTTAAAAGAAGAAAAGTAGCCAGGTGTCGTGGTGCACACCTTTAATCCCAGCACTTGGGAGGCAGAGGCAGGCGGATCTCTGTAAGTTCAAGGCCAGCCTGGTCTACATAGTTCCAGGACAGCTGGGGCTACAGGGAGACCCTGTCTCAAAAAGACCAAAAAAAAAGAAGAAGAAGAAGAAGAAAAGTAGAGCTGGAGATATAGCTCAGTAAAGTGCTTGCCTAGAGACCTGAATTTGATCCCCAGAACCCACTTTAAAAAAGCTAGGTATGGTAGTGTTGGAATCTGGCACTGAGAAGGTAGAGGCAGGTGGGGCATGTTCTTGGCCAGTAGAGACCCTGTTTCAAAAACAATTGAATATTGTCTGAGGAGTGATAGCTGAGGTTGTCCTCTGGCCTCCAGACATGTGCATGTGCACCCATAGATACTGTACAAAGACAAAAAGGGAGGAAGTCCTTTCAAGAGAATGATTTATTTTTCAGGCAACTAGAAGAGTGGGAAGTAGTCATTTTAGGGACAATTCAGTAACAGAGACCCTGTGGCAACTCATTGAAGATGATGAAACCTCTGCATTCCAGTGACCCTTTATTTTCCTTTTCCCTGATACAGTTCAGCTTGGGCAGCACCAACGTTGGTGTTCTCATTTTTCCCTTTGGCCTGTCATAGGTCTTAATGTTGAGTACTGCATTAAGGCAAAAGTGCCACTTTGACTATGGGTGTGAAGTGAAACCAAATTTTACTAAGTAATGAGCTCAAAGGCAATTACAGTTTTAATTGTACAATTACTGAATATCTGGTATGTGTATGCCCTGGAGGAAATAGGCCACTTTTAAGTACTGTCTAACTGGAGAGAGACCTTGCTTGCAGTGAGGTTAAAGACATAGCCCTTCTAATTTAGTGTCTCTTATGGTACTAATGTTAATATGTAGATCAGGGAAACTAGATTGGTTAATTCTTCTCCAAAGAGTAAAAGTTGGAGGAAATCATTTTAGCCTCAACAGCCCACAACTAGAAGGGTTCTCAGTGTTAAGATGAATGTTAGAAATGAAAAGTATCTAAAGAAACAGTCTAGAGCATATGGCATAGGCGGCTGTGTTGGCTTTCTATTGATGCCCAACACAACACCACAAACAAAGCTGTTTAGAATACAACCTTACAGTTTCTGTGAGTTCAAAGTGGGTGCAGTTGCTTAGGGTCTCACAAGGCTACAAAAAAATGGTTCCTGTTAATCCTAGGTTCTCAGAACTGTGACTGGGCAGGGATCTGCTTCTAAGCTCTGAGCTTGTTGGCAGAATTCATTTATTTGTGGCTGTGGGATTGATGGGAAGTCACCTCAAAAACCAGCATTGGAGAGACTAGCAAGATGGATACCATCAGGATCATGTACAGCATTGCTGGGCAGCCCATGTTGGTTGCATTCTGTTGGCCAGAAGCCAATCATTGGCCTGCCCCTTCTCAAGAAAGAGGAGTTACACATGTGACTCCAAGAAGGTTGGGGCCATAGCTTCTCAAAGTCCACTGGTGGAAGCTGGCAAGTCCATCCTGGAAAGGGCTGTGTACATGACAAGGCTTCAGATTGGCATTCCTCTGCATCATATTTCAAAACCTTGTGAGGACTCATTTCTTAGTCCTGACTTTGTGTTCCCAAGGATTGCTTCATTTAGACTCCCCTGCCTTGGTTTTGGTTTATCTGGAAAATCAGAGGCTTTGTTGGCCTCTGTTTGGTGACCATTGGAACTGGTCTGGATCATTTCCAAATAAAAATCAGATACAAAACACTGGTCACTAAATAAAAATTTTACCCTTTGTATTAGTCACTTTTCTGTTGCTGTGATAGAAACACTGACCCAAAACAACTTACAGAAGGAAGAATTTATTTGAGCTTACGGTTCTAGGGGAATTACAGTACATCACGGCAGGGAGGCATGGTGGCTGGAGGTGGCTGGAGCAGGAGCAGTGGAAGCTAAGCTCTCACATCTTCCAGCAGGCATAGGAGGCAAGAGAGCAACTGGAGCTCAGGCAAGGCTTAAGAACTCTCTAAGCCCACCCCCGAGTGACGTGCTTCCTCCAGGATAGCCACACCTTCTAAGACCTCCCAAAACAGCACCACCATCTGGGGACAGAATGTCCAAATACTTGGAGCCTATGGGGGACACTTTCATTCAAACCACTGCACCCTTATTTCTTAGAATGACAATCAACAAACTGAGAATGGCCTTGTATATTGTTTTCATTTACTTTTGCCTTCTTATTAAAATATGAAATAAGTGATCTTGGGCACGGATTCTTTACATTCTGTTCTTTAGCTTTCCTATATGGAGAAAAATTTGTTAGTAACTAAAGATAATTATATTAAGTACCATAATTACAGAGAAATACTAATGAATATGGTTTTCCATTTATTAATAAAATTACTAGCTAAGTGTGGTGGTGCATACCTGTAGTTCTAAAGTAGAAATTTATTTGTGTGTTTTTAATATATTGATGAATGACTCATTTTAAAGCTAGAGTTATATTAAATATATGTGGATGCATAATGGTATATTAATAAATTATTGAAACGAGCATGGATATGTAAAAGTAAAAATAGAATGTTCATACACTAAAGAATTTTTTGCCTACTCATATTGTCTATAAATTGTTTTCTAATTTAAGATACTTGTTACATATCTTTTATTCCCTAAAATCTATTATTGATTTTGCCTTATAATCATATTCAAAATAAAAATAATGAAATGATTAAGATGCTTGGTTTTTTGTTTTTGTGTTTGTTTTGAGATGGGATCTCCCTGTAGACCCAACTGGCCTGGAACTTGCTATGTAGATCACACTGGCCTTGTTTTCAGAGATCTCCCTGCCTCTGCCTCTTGAGTGCTGGAATTAATGTCACCACATCCAGCTCTGATTAGGACACTTTTTATTAGGATGGAGAGATGACTCAGCAGTTAAAAGTACACTGCTCTTATAGAGGGACCCAAATTTGGTTCCCAGCACCCACTATGTCAAGTGACTCAACAACCTATAACTCCAGCTGCAGGGAATTCATTGCTTCTGGCCTCTAAGGGCAACCATGCTTGCGCGCATGCGCGCGCGCGCGCGCGCACACACACACACACAATTAGTAAAAATAAAATCTTTGTATATATATAGAGAGAGACTTTTTGAGATTTTCATATAGTATAATTTGATGGCATTTAGATGCCCTCCCCATCCACACCTCCCCTTATTGCCCCCTGCCCAATTTAATGTTCTCTATTACATATATATAATAAGGTCTATAGAGTCTTAATTTGTGTCTCAAAATATCCTTCAGTGCAGATCCATCCACCAGAGCCTGGTTAACCTACCAAAAGTCCCATCATTGAAACAGACTGTCTCTCCCACTTTCAGCAGCCATTGGTTGTCAAATGTTCCTTAGATTTTGTTGGGGTTTCTTACCCACTTCCCCATGTCTGTGCTGGGATTTTTGTCTGGTTTGAACTGGCATGGGACTTGTGCATGCTGTCAGCATTCCTGTGAGTTCATATGAGTAACTGACCAACCATCTGGAAAACTTGGTTTCCTTGTGGTCATCCACCACCTTTGACTCTTACAGTTTTTCCACCCCTCTTCCATAATGATCCCTGAGCCTTGGGAGTCGGAAGTTTGATATAGGTATCCTATTCAGGAATAAGCACTCTGCAACCTCTTGTTCTCTGCACATTGGCTGGTAGTAGATATATGTGTTAATCACCATCTGCTGCATAGGGAAACTTCTCTGATGAGAAGTTGAGAGAATACATTAATCTATGAGTATAATAGTAAGTCATAAGAGTGGGTTTAATAGGATCGCTAATAGAAAACTAGTATTAGGCTCTCCTCTATGTCCTGTGATCTGTCTAGCTTCAGGTTCCTTAACCTGATATCAATGCCCGGTATCGGCTCCATCCTATAAAAATGGGCCTTAAATTCAGTTAGAGAGTGGTTGGCTATTCCCACAATATTTGTGCCACTATTGCACT